GGGTGGGATGGAGGGAGAAAAGGGGGAAAATACGTTCCTTTGGCATTGCAGAATTATTTCCCGTATTTGTTTTCCTGCCCCGTGAAAGAGCAGCGAGCTGCAGCTGATGTCGCCGTGGGTGCGGAGCACGGAGGATGGATGTTTCTGGACGGGTCTTTGGTGAAAAAGTTAAAAACCGGCCGTGCTGTGAGCCTCGGAGACTTGCTCTGGCCCTCCTGGCGTCCGCTCCTGCGGCTGGGACTCTGTCAGAGTTTCCCTGAATGGCCCTGAGAGTTCAAGCGTCTAGATTTTCCTACGCGTCGGCTTAAAAGTCAGTATGACTGGCCAGTATAGCTGCATGGTTAAGTGCCTTGGGAAAATTTGGCTGTTTGCTAGGGTGAGGGATGCAACACAGAAGATCTGTGTAACTTGAATGCTTCCACTTATTTATTTATTGTAGTTTAATGAGATCTGGCACACGTCAATACTGTGTGATCGTCATATGCGGTCTTGGCTGGCGTCTGTGCAGAGTTTGATCCAGTAAATTTGGTGCACGCTTGTAGCAAACTTGAGAGTGGGGTGAGGAGGATGTGTGAACTTTTGGCTTTCATTGAGAATTTGCAGGCTAACACACGCGACAAAATGAGGAGAAAATACTTCTGAATGAGCATAATATGGTTGCTGCGTGTAGTTTGTGGTGAGAGTATTGTTGAATAACTTTCTGGCAGCAGTGCTCTTCTGCGCTGGGATATACATTTTTGCATTAAATCCTGTAGCACCACCTAGGATATGCAACTTTCATTGACTTGACAGAGAAATAGGCGCATGGAAGAACATTGTTGAAAAGGGAGCATTTGCTTGTGGATCTTGCGGGCAATTTGAGATGCAGTTAAACTGTCTTTAATCCCCTCTCTTGATGGGAACAGGACGCTGAGAGTCTCTTGCTTTTTTGGTGGCTGTTTTCGTGGCAATACATGGATGGACAGTGTGCACTGTGAATGTGATGGCCGCTTGCTTACTGTCAGCGATATTTGCTCAGTAACGATAAACAATTGTTTGCTAGGCTTTATTAAAAACAACCGCAAACGCCCTATATCTTCTAACACAAAGCCTTTATTGTCCTAAAGCAACTGTGGACGGATTTCATGCTTGCTGTAGTTCCTCTGATGTCAGTGGAGTTTTGCCAGGGATGATTTTGGCAGGTGAAGTGTCACTTGCGTTTTTCAGAGGCCGCAACATTTAAGAATAATGTTGCTATTTTATTTATCTCCAGCACTTCAGGATTGTTAATTAAAACGTTATGCTGATAGGCCTGAAAATATGGGGTAGTGGGAGGAGAGTCATCAGATCAGATCATCTAAATACTCTCCTCACTTACTTTCTCCTCTCTGTTTCAGTTCTTATGTCCCTTAATTTACGATCTTGCTTCTTTTTCAGTCTTGGCATCTTTTTTCTCTCCTCAGAGCTGAGAAGAAGTTTCTCTGAACTCACCTGGGGCATTTAGAGGTTTTGAGATTAGCTGTATTGAACTGTCCTACAGTAACAGTCCACCACTAGGTAAGTGAAGAACTGGGCGGCAGCTGCACTTCTGAGGTGTTTCCTGCCGTGCACACGCCTTTTCTTTACAAGCTCATTTGGGTGGTAGCCGTGCTCAGTGCATTTGCTGAAGTGGCAGATTGTTTGACAGAGTCGCGTAGTGCAACAGTCAGGCTTGAGACAGGGCGAGTAGATCAGGGTAGGGGTGGGGAAGTTCACTGAATTTTTGCATAGTGCCACGCTCGTGATGTTGAGAAACAACTGTTTTGGAGTACGCCTCTTTGTAATGTCAGTAAAGAAAGAAAAAATTCTAAAAAAAAGTGGAGCAGTTGAAGAATTGGTAAAGATGAAAGCAAACATTCTTTTTTACTAGCTGTGGGAAGAGGAGTGGGATTGTTGAACTATTAATTGGGTTTAATAGAACTTACTTGGCTCCATCAAAGTTTGAAAAATGATTTTACTGAACAGAACTAAGTTATTTTTATATCCAGTGAGCAGCATGAAATACATGTGGCCAACCCTTAGGCTCTTCTGACACTGTGGCAGTTTTAAACACAGCACGTTCTAGTGCTCAACGTTACAGAATCTTTACTCAGCCATTTTGGTTTCTGTGCAGACATTTTTGCACTGTGCAACTTTCGATCAGCCTATTTTGATCTCAAAAGTAAGCAAAAAGAACACATCGGACACAATTCCTAGTTGATACTGTTCTGGCATTTTTGGAAAAAGAAAGCGCCAAAGAGCAAGATCCACACACCGTCTAACTTTGGAGGGGAGAAAAAAGTGCTTAATGCTTCTTAAAATCAGTAACTAGCCTAAAGTTTATTCTGATCTGGCAGGAGTTGACATGTGCTTGAGTATCAGTGGAAGCATGATTTGCAGCTTAACATGATGTTGCAGAAAAGCCTGCAACTCTTCTCTCTTTACTTGAAGAACATGTAAGTTGGAGTTTAATAGAAGTCAACAGAGGGATTCAGCTGTGGAAGGGGAACTGGTCACACTTTCTAACCTGAACGTAAAGGTGTAAATTTGATAGGAGGAACTTTTTTCAATAGAAAAAAAAAATTTAGCTAGAATTTGGCTAAAATCTTTGGGTAGAACTACATTTCTCAATGATGCATCCGTTCTCCCTGTGTTGCGAATTGTCAGACTCGGCTTGTGTGTGTTTGTTATATTAATGCTCCCAAAATCACGCTGAAGTGGCAAGGTGTTTTGTCTTCTCGCTGCCATCATCCACTTGCGGATGGGGAAATAGAAGCACAAAAAAAGTAAATGGGCTTCCTTACACAGGAAATGAGTTCAGGTTCTTGCACCACTACACGTTTCCCCTAAGCTATTGCCTAGTGCTGAAAGGAGTGGACTTTCTCCTGCACAAGCTGTGCAGAGTGAAGAGAAGAGGCACAAACCAAATTGACCGTATAGCGGGGTTTGAAAATCAGTTTGGTTACCTGGCTCCGCTCAGGTAGTGGGCAACTTCTTCCATCAACACTTTATGTTGGTCTTTGTTAGACTACAGAAAAATGATTTGTTTTTTGTTTTTTTTTTTTGCAATGGAAAGTGCTTAAGCAAAGACACCCAGCACGCACAGGAAAGAGAAGAAAACAATAGGGAGCATTTTTCTTCTGCTTTCCAGCCCTACCTTTCGGTAGATTGGTGCCGTGTTTCCAAATTGGTATCTGGCTGGATCTTTGGGGAGGTCCTTCATCTGGCCTGTTGTACAGTGGCATGCGAACAGGTGCCAGCACAAGGGAAGAGAAGGCTTTGCACAGCTAGCGGGGTTGGGGCAAGAGCAGGACTGCCTCGCTCTGACCCCTGTGGTTAGATCAGGTGGCGTGACTGCAGATCCCCACCCTGAGAGATCGGGCTCAGGGTTCCTTTTAAAGATGTTTTCTGAAGTCGGTGGGGGAACTGTATTTACTTTTGTTATGCACAGTTGCTTATGTAGCTGTTGTTTTCACCCAGCTGCTGTTCCACTTCAGTGCATTGGTGTGAAGAGCTGTGCGTGTTGCGCAGCAGTGGGGAGTTGAGTGTGGTAATTCTATGATGGCAGAAATCGTCCGGGGGCTGTATGAATAGGGAGCCTCGACATCTGCGAGAAAAGGAAGGATATGGTCAAGCAGAACCATTTCTTCCTTTTCCCATGTAACCTGAAAACTTACTGGAGGGTACCTGCTACCTCTGTGGTTTCGTGATGCTGAGAATACTGAAGTTTGAAGTAACATCCGTAGTTACAACATTGAGGTTGGTAGTTGACTGTTTTAATTGCAAAGTCTGTCATAATCTTAGGCATGACTTTCAAAACGTGTTTCGAGCTGGCAGTTTACTTTTTGTATTTAGGCCTACACTAGAAAGTTTTGTGGAGTTGAAGGGCAAGAAAGTCATGAGTAAAGGAGCGGTGGTCCAAGTAGTGTCTGTAAATGCATAAGCCCCAAAGACTTTGGGGCTTTTGTATGCATTCATCTGTCTGTTGGCCCCTATCATATTTTAAAATTAACACTTCAAATCAGCAGTTACTCTGATTTCTTAGCGTGGGTCTATAGTTGGCAGGGTAGGATTTGTAGTGGCTTGGTGCAGTTTACCTTCAAATACGGAACTGTTCAGCCTGGAGGTAATCGAGCTTGCACAGATGGGACAAGAATCCTAGTTTCATGATGAGAGCAGGGAGTACAAATGCAATACCATTTGTCTTGTTTATTCTGAGTAATAACTCCTGGATTTACTTATTTTTATTAAATTTCTCTGGCAACATGAAGCCAGAAGACTGTCTTTTGTGCAAATACACGATCCTCTTCAAAGATAGAAATGGTGGAGTCTGTTAGGAACAGAGGAACAAATTCCTTCCATTCAGAGGAGGTGCGTTTCTTGCATTATTTTACATTTTATGCTGAAATTTCAGGCAATACACTTGTTTGCACAATACATCTGAAATCCTCTGTTCTGTCCTCTGGCATGTCTTAGGCTGTTACGTTTACTGCCCCTCTGTACGAGGTGCTTTAGAGAACTATCCTTAGGATGATTAAGCATGAAACGTTTCCTTGTTATAAGGAGAGGTTTAATGGTTTGGTCGACAAGCTTGCTTGTTTTGGTGGGATGAGTCTCAGTTTTATCCTCTTGCCAGTAAAGTTGCCTTTCCTGTAAGTTAGAAAGCTGAAATCCACAAATCGTTGGGGAAGAGGAGGTGTCCTCGTATTTGACTTTTTGGCAGAAGTGGTCCCTCAGCTTTGCAGTGTAGTGTACTTCATGGAGGCAAAACTGGGTCTTGAAACTATTTGGTTTAGTGTAAAGGGAAACCTGCATCAAGTTATTTTTGCTTATTTGATTATGAAGGGTTCCCCTTCATTCAGTTCACCATGTTTGTGCCAACTGGTGCTGGCTGACTCGCAGAGTCCAGTGGCATCTGCTCTGAACTGGAGCCAACAAGATGCTGCCAGTCAAAGGTATTTCTATAGCAATGGCATTTTGTGGGTCTTTCGGTGGGTTGGCGAGAGGGGGGTGATGATGGCAAATAACAGAATGATTCTTTTCTCTTCTTGCATGTACAGTGAATGGGCATTCATAAGACCTCATGTATATACACAGTCCTTTGTTTTAGTGTGAATAATAAAACAGAGTTAACAGCTCTGGGTATGCAAGATGATGTGACAAGAGTGGGTCAAGACTGTTCTTGTGTGCATAAATGCACTCCTAATCTAGGCCAATGCCTATGCTGGACGCTTCCAAACAAGCTGGAAAGACTTCAGAGGAGCGGGAGTTTTTCTGTCAGATGGGTAAAGTGTACCTCTTGCTGAGCAAAGCACTTAAGGATGAGGATCAGAATGGATGTTCATGAGTCACTTTGCATGTTAATATGACTGTAGGGGAAAAACTTTATTGTTCTGGAAAACAAGGAATTTAGTTGGGGCCAAGGGGATTTTTCTTTTAACTGGCAGGATGAGTTGCTGAGCACCTGTGCTGTTTCAGCTGAAATGCTTCTCTTCTACCTCAGCTTCTTTACAAGTGTCATCAGGGGAAAAGATGCCTTGTTGACTGTCCCATTGCATTGCTGCTCCTGTCCTTCAGACTTTTTGCTAGAGTCGAGCTCCTCGGTGCACGTGCTCTCCTGAGCTCTCCTGACTGAACAAGTCATAAACATCTTATGCAAATATGAGCGAACATGTTTTTCCTTCTTTAGAAAATAAGTTTTAAAAACTAGCTTTAAGATTAAAGAAACTTCATCTGTCTGAGAAATGGAAAGTGTGCATCTCTTGGGGTAATGTCATTCCATTGAAAAGATTTTAAAAAAAAATACTCCTCTGAAATTCCAGCAGCTAAACATTCACCCCTGAAACTTGTTACAAAGACTGTAATTTGTGAATGTCAATCAGACTAATGTAGAGGAATTTGTTTTAAAAGGAGTATTACTCAGCAAAGTGTAAGTTAGACATGTACCAAAACTCTCTTTTTGGGGAAGCTCAAGTCTGAATTCTTGTGCCTCTCTTGCTTTCTCTTGAGTTAGTGACTGATGAAACTGAGTGGTAAAAGGGGGAGGCTGGAGGCATCAGCTGGCCATGCTATACCTCAGAAGTGTCATACCTTCAAAGTTGCCTTTATAAAAGCAGGTGTTTACGGAATGTTTAGTGACTTTGATTTTTTTTTTTTTTCAATGTAATTGGTAAGCAGAATAAGAGATGTCTTTGTTTGAGGATATAATGACAAGTTAGTACACAGTACCTGAAGTTAGAAAATAAGTGTGCCAGCTATTATTTTGTTTTCCAGTGGCGTGAGGGCCCTTCCTGCT